GGGCTGTAGACCACTGTCTATATGGGTGCTAATGCTCCCAAGGAATCCACTGCGGTAGATAGTGTGGAGGGGGTAAGCTCAATGTGGGTACTGAGAGGGCTGATGGGGTCTTTCTCTGTAATAATGTGACCATGAACCCATCACTGATGGGTGCTGTGATGAGAATGCACTTCTTTGGTCATCATCAGCTAAAAGGCTATGTTGAAAGAGTACTGGAGATCTAATTAGAGATGGAGAGTTGTGTACTGGAGATAACGCCGGTGATAAGACTTGTAGAGGTAGGGCGCAAATGATTATGTTTGCCTTGACTGTCAAGTGCTGAACTGTGCTCTTTCCGTTGTTGCCCATGTCAGCTGTGGGTCTGTTTCTAGTGGCAGTGAGGCTGGAACTGACAGCAGTGGCATTGGAGCCGGTGACGCTTTATTTGAACATGCCATTTTTGCTTGTGGTGCTGCGACTTTTGGCAATGCCAGGTTCTTATGCAGTGCCACGATTGCAGAATGCTTATGAGCTCCTGCTGGCACCGAGGAGGTGTGCACCAGTGCTGGTGCTGTTGTATGAGCCCTGTCCACATTTTTCAGTGCCACTGGTCCAGATGTGCTTGGCCTCTCTCCCCTGCTGACTCTAGGAGAAGAGAAAGAGAGCGTGCTGGCGAAGCTTTCTTTTTAGAAGCCTTTCTGGTAGGCAGGGAAGTGGCTCTTTTCTTTGGGGAGCTCTCTTGTGCTTGGAGACATTTCACCCCTTTCTAGGCTGCATAGCTTTATAGAATAGCATCATTCTGAGGTGGAGCTCTCTCTCTTTTCTGGCTCTCACCATCAGACTGCAGCAGTGATCACATTTTTGTGGGACACGGGCTTCCCCCAAACAACAAATGCATAGGGAGTGGCCATCTGACACTGACATGGGCTCTCAGCACTTGTCCCATTTCTTGAAGCCCGAAGAGCCTGTTGATACATCTGTGGTATTACTTTTGATTTTCTTTTTTTTTTTAAATGAGGTAAAGTTGAACAAGGGAAGCTATATACATCAATTTCTAACACAAACAACATAAAGTGACTATTAAAACACCAAAGTAATGTCTGAGGTAAATAGCTGAAAGAGTAGTTGACCACAACCAACGGTGGTTAAGAAGAACTGAAAGGGAAGCGTCTGGCCACACGCATCAGGCGCTCAGGCATGAACACCGTGAGATGCCTCCTGCACATGTATGGCTCAGTGTGGGAAACTGCTTTGCGCGGCTACACGGGGCACATCACCATCAGTGGAGCACCCACAGGGACATCACTTGAAGAATTTAAATATTCCCAGTCCATACTCTTTTATGGTAAAATAAAACCACTTTTTATGACAAAGACAAATATGATAATAACCTAGATAAAATTTATTTTAAACCAGAAAAAATAGAAACACGCCACTTCTATTTTAATATTTATATTTTTAAGATTGCATATACAATTTTATGTCCTGAAAATATGTAACTAATTTTCCTTTAGATTGGATTCACTGTGGAATGCAACAGGATCAAGCATCACTCTAAGATCTGGAGATTTTTTTCAGCTATCAGCAAGGCCCTATTAAATTCATGGCTATGAAAAACATGTCACAGATGGTGAAATCCAGTTTCCCTCCATGACATCTGATCTTTTATGTTCTTTTATCCAATTCTATATAGATTTCACAGGAGAAACCCAAAATTTTCAAATTGGGGATCCTGACTCAAAAGGGAGTGGCAGGGCTCACAAGATTATTTTAGGGGATCACAGTATTGTCACACTTACTTCTGGGCTGACTTCAGAGCTGGGCAGCCAGGCCGCTGTTGGCCAGGCACCCAGCTCTGAAGACAGCACCCACCAGCATCAGCACAAAAGAGTGGCAATACCATACATGCCACCCTTACTTCTGCACTGTTGCATTCGGAGCTGGGTGGTCAGAGAGACACGACTGTTGGCTGGGCATCCAGCTGTGAAAGCAGCCCCCCACAAGCAACAACACTGAAATAAGGGTGGCAATACCATACCATGGTAGCCTTACTTCTGCCGTGCTGCCTTCAGGGGTGGGCGGCTGGGTAGTGACAGTTGCTGACTAAGGGACCGGCTCTACAGGCTATGCTTACTTTTTCATTACTGCTAGTGGTGGCTCTGCCTTTAGAGCTGGGCCCCTGACCAGCAGCCATTGCTCTCCAGTTTCTGAGCTCTGCAAGCACTGCTACCGCTAGCAGCATTGCAGAAGTAAGGTTAGCAGTATCACAATCCTCCCACAATAACCTTGCAAGCCCCCACACAAGTCCTTTTTGGGTGAGGACCCCTACAATAAAAACACCATGAAATTTTATATCTAAATAGCTGAAATCTTGAAAATTATGATTTTTAAAATCATATGGCAGTGAAATGGACCATGAATTTGGTGGGGCTCTAGATATCAGTAACTTCCACTATCCTACTCCCTGCACTAAGAATGCTTATGTGGCAATGAATTTGCAATGTGGGGTTTAATTTTGACCTAATCACCTTCTCTCTTACTTTCCAATCTTACAGGAGCCTCTATCAACATGACTTTCCTTAATCCGAAATTATTTTACAGGTCATTTCTCAGTGCTTTACTGTTCTAGTATTCTCAATTAGAATAAAATTATTCCCATCAATCCTTATCTCCATAACTTCAACTTCATTTAGCTTCCCTGCACTCTTAAACCAGAGTTTTTGAACATCCTATCAACTGCAACCACTCGATTAAATTGTATCCACCAATTTGCTAATATTTGCTGAGCTGTTCCTAAGCATATCCTATTTTGTTCACTAATGCAAGTTTGAGTCTCCAAATGGTGCAAAATCAAAAGTAGGCAAGACTGCCGGTCTCTAATTTCACGGCTTGAGAGAAAAATTTTTATTAAAACTACAAAACTTTCAATTTTGAGCACTGTGGGATCTATTTCCATATTAACTATCTACAAAACAATTCTCTAATAATAGTAATTTAATTATAAAACAACAGAACTAAGGGCAGCACTACCCAGCTTCCTATAGCAGATTCTCAATGTTCCTAACAGAACTCTGACGACCTTCCCCTTTTCTCATTTTTTCTTTAGTTTAACAGTTCCTAGATATTCAGGACTTACGTCACAGTCACTATCCTTCCAGCTGAAGGGGCTTCCACTGAGCAATAAGATACACTCCTTTGTTTCAAGAGGCTCAGATAGGGTATGTCTACACAGCAAAGTTATTTCAAAATAACTTTACCAGTATCTACACAGCCAAACCGCTATTTCAAAATTAAATTTTTCAAAATTAAATTATTTTCAAAATTAGCGGAGGGCTTATTTCGAAATTGGTAAACCTCATTCCACGAGGAATAGCGCCTATTTTGAAATTACTATTTCGAAATAAGCGTTGTGTAGATGCTTATTTCGAAATAGGGGGCCTCCAGACCTTCCCAGGGTGACCTGGTGGCTACTCTGGACACAACCAGGAAAACTCCTATCCTTCCCCCCCCCCCCCGGGCCCTTAAAGGGGGGGGGCCCTGTGCCAGCTCCAAGCCTACCAGCCAAGAGCCAGCAGTCGCTGCACCTGACCCAGTGGCCCCAGCATGAGCTAGGCAGCCAGCCCTCCACCGCTTCCCAGGACCAGTCTGCCAGCTCCCAGGAGCCTGCCAGGGGCAGGAAAAGGCGGGCGCCTGTCTGATCCAGTGCAGAGATCAGGGACCTAATTCAGGTTTGGGGGGATGCTTCCAACGTCCATGATCTCCGCACTAAATGGGGGAACGCAACCATCTACAGGCAGATGGCTGCCAGCCTGGCCACCAAAGGCCACATGCAAACCCAGGGGCAGGTTTGCATGAAAATAAAGGAGCTGCAGCAGGCCTTATGAAAGGGCCATAGGGGGCAGCTCCCAACCAGGGGCAGACCCAGATCCCTGTCCCTATTTTGATGTCCTGGACTACATCTTGGGGGGTGGGACAGTCCATGTTCCCCACGTGGTCATTGACCCTGCGACATAGCTTGCTGCCTCCTGCCGTTCCAGCCCCTGCTGCCTCCCCAGCTACCTCTCCTCCTCCCACTCCTTCTCCCCCTCACGTTTCTTCCTCCACACCCTCCCCAGATCCCCAGGGATGCTGAGGCCCCCACACCCGTGGTGCTAGGAGACAGTTGGTCTGGTGAGACCCCCAACCCTGAGCCCTGAGCTTCTCTTCCTCCTTCCTCCCCTTGCCTCCCCCTGCCAGCTCCCTCCTCCCAGGTTTTCCCTCTCCCAACCTCCCTCCTCCCTTCTCCCACCTTCTTTCCCCAGTCTCGCTTCTCCCCCCACTGCAGTTTTGCTCAATAAAGAGACTTTGTTGTAATGAACACGTGTCTTTTAATGTACAGCAGGAAGTGGGGTTAGGGAGGGGTATGTGGAAGGTCGTGAGGGAGGAATGAGGCACATTCTAGTAGGGCACACTAGAGAGATTGTTACTGCCTGCAGAACGTGCTGCCAGGTTCACAGCAACACGTCCAGGAGAAGCACCAGAGTGCCCAGGGGTGGCTCCGGCTCCATACTGCAGAGTGATGTGGTGTCCTGAGGGAGGGCAACCAGAACACACAAAGAAAAAAATGCTTTGCTGTCCCTCAGCAAGGTAGGCAAGCAAGCACGGAAACCTGCGAACCAGGTGCTTAGGGGGGAGGGTCCCTTTAAGCACAGGCCTCCAATAGCCTCAGGCAGCAGACATACAAGGTAACTCCTGATCTGATGCCCTGCCAGAACCAGTTCCGGCGGCCTTAAATGCGATTCAGCATCCTATCAGTGTGGACACACTATTTTGAAATAGCAAAATGCTATTTCGAATTGCATTTTGTGTCTAGACGCATTATTTCAAAATAAGCTATTTTGAAATAATGCTGTAGTGTAGATATACCCCATATGCTTGACAGAGCACTAAAATTCCCAAAGTATCACCAGGATACCAGGCAACCTCTTTATGTCCCATAACAATGTTGTTTTCCATTAAAAATTCAGATAAATAATCCATACCTGACAGCCATCGTTAATCAGCCATTCAATAACTTCACAATGTCCTCCATCCACAGCCCAGTGCAAAGCTGTACAACCTCCCAGATCTCTGACTTTCCAAGAAGCTCCTTGTTCTTTGAGATATTTAATAATATCCAGGTGACCAGCAAAACAAGCTAACATTAGGCTGTAACATGAAAAGAATTATTTTGCTGGAAGAATGGGGCATCATTATTATTCATACATTAGTGACTTACTTTAATTTGGGTAGGTTTTTCTTCTCAACTATTAATTCTGAGCTGAAAACCACAAATTTTACTGATATTTAATGCACAGCTATGCTGTAGCTATCCTTGAGAGAAGATGAAAGGCAGGCATAAGGAGTCCCACACCTACTGCTGTACCACACTTTAGCTTCAGTGCTTCAAAACAAAAGATCATCATAATGCTACAGCCAGCATAAGCAAACTACAGAGGAGAGCACTTCTAGTATTGAACACCACAGTACAACCTTCCTGCACATAGACAAGCATATGAAGGCCAGGGTCCAAGCTAAACTTTTATTATAGGTATAGAAATGGTAATCAATAAGTTCATCATCAGACAGCGATGCTGGAAGCATTATGCTTTCTCCAACCCTACATAAGCAGAAAAGGCAGTATGTTTCTCAACCTTCTCAAACTGACAATCCCTTATTCAAAATAAAAAATGATTGAGACTCCTTTACATTTACTATAAATGGCACAGTAAAAAATGTATCAATAATAATCCTATTAATCTATGTTTGTATGCAAAGTTAACAGAGAACACTAGACCTTAAAGCAGGGATGGGCAATAATTTTTGATGCAGGGGCCACTCCCAGATTTGGAAAGTGGTTGAGGGCCACACTCTTCCATGATATTAATGGAGGAAGTTCAGGGTCTGGGATGGAGGTTGGGTGCAGAAGGGCCTGTGAGGTCTGGGAGTGAGTTTGGGTGAAGAGGAGGAGGCAGTTGTGACCCGGGGCATGGGATTGGAGTGCAGGGATCTGGGTTGTGACCTAGGGCTGGGGATCATAGTGCCAGGGTTTGGGTTGTGATGTAGGTCAGGAGGGGACTGTGATCTGGGACATGGGATTGGGGAGCCGGGTCTGGGAGTGGGTATGGGCTCAGGAGGGTTTGGATTATGTGGGGTAGAGGGACAGAGGGCTGGGGGTACGTGAGGGGCTTGTATACCACAGGCAGGCTCTGGCCAGGAGACTTGCCAGTGAGAGATTCCCAGCCAGCAGCCCAGCACATTTCTTAGGCAGGAACCTGCTCCAGCCCCACACAGGCTACAGGGCCATGTGCTCTGTGAATGAGAGCCTGAGGGGAGGGGGGATTGGTGCTTCACGTGCTGCCTGTTCTTTGAAACAGACAGATCCCATTGACCAGAAACTGGCCAATGGGATTGTGCTGGGGACGGGAGCAGCTCGTGAAGCACCACTCCCCCCTCCTCCCTGCTCACAGTTTGTGAAAAATGAACAGCCCAGCAGCTGCTTTTCTGTGCAGCATGCAGGGGTGGGGCAAACAGGGGCATCTTCCTGAGCCTCCCTGCTGCGTCCATGGGCTGGATCCGGTGGTTTGCTGGGCTGGGTCTGGCCCATCGAGAGTATTTTGCCCAGGCCAGCCTTAAAGAGTAAGGGTGTACAGAAAGCAAGGGAGATTATTTTTGCTTTAGATTGTAATACAATCAGTGCCTCGTGATCAGTGCCTCGTGATCATCTTGACTGCCAATCATGATCCCCACTGAAAAATACTTATTTAATTAATGAAAGCAATGGACTAGGACTCAAAGAATATGGTTTCTATTCCCTGCTCTAACAGTGCCCTACTGAGTGACACTGAGCAAATCACTTAATCTTTCTGTCCCTCATTTTCCCTCTCATCCTTTGTTTGTCTATTTAGATTATCAACTTTTCAGGGAAGAAACTGTCTCCTCCTATATTTTACTATATCCTAATACACTGGGGCACCTAATGTCAGCTGGGGCATGCAGGCACTATTATAATATTAATAACAGTAACACTATAAATCAGAAACACAAGATATTATCATCTTATTACCTCACCCACCTTGTCTCTCTAATATCCCGAGACAGAAATGGCTACAACTATACTGCACAGAATAACATTATTATTCATGTGATGCACTCCTACCTTAACACTGTTCTGGCTCTCAAACCTTAATTAAGTCCATAATGTGAAATGAAAATATAAACACATTTTTAATCAGACAAAGCTCTGGCTGGGATGATTTAGTTAGGGTTGATCCTGCTTTGAGCAGGGATTTGCACTAGATGACCTCCTGAGATCTCCTCCAACCCCAATCTTCTATGATACTATGAGTCAATGTGTTAAAATTAAAACATAATTAGGCTGTGGTGATGATGATGATGATACCAAGATGATTTTAACTAGCCATCTGCCTAGGTAATGTCTAGACCAGGGTGGGCAATAATTTTTGATGGGGGGGCCACTCCAAGAATTTGGTACGTTACTGAGGGCTGCACTCTTTCATTATATTGATAGAGTAGGTACAGGGGTCTGGAATGAAGCTGAGTGCAAAAGGGATTGGGGTTGTGGGATATGGGAGAAAGTCTGGGCGAAGGAGGGGATTGTGACCTGGAACAGCAGACTAGAGGTGCAATATGGCGTGCAGGGTCTGGTAGGGGGTTGTAACCTGGGATGGGATGCAGGGTCTCGGAGAGGATTATAATCTGGAGCAGGCGTGGAGAAGGAGATGCAGGTATTTGGGTTGTGGGAGCGATAGAGAACTGAGGTGCAAGGTCTGGGAGGGGGTTGTGACTTGAGGAGTGGTGTAGGAGTGGATGCAGTGTCTGGGAAGGTGTTTGGGGAGGGTGCAGGAGAGGGGCAGAGGGTTGCAGGAGGGAGGGGCTGGTTTGCCAGAGGCAGGCTCGGGCTGGGAGACTACCTGGGTGGCTCCCAGCAAGCAGCCCAGCAGGTTCCTTAGCCCGGATCCCTGCCTTCCATGCCCCTATACAAGCTAAAAGCAGCTGCAGGGGCCATGTTTACTCCTGCGGGCACTGTGAGCTTGCGAGTGAGGGAGGAGGGGCACTTTACATGCTGCCTACCCTGCAAACAGGCATCTGCTATTGGCTGGAAATCAGCCAATGGGAGGTAGTGGGGGTGGGGGCAGCATGAAAAGACTCTCACCTTCCCTCCTCCCCGAGCTCTCAGCATTCAGGGATGCACACATGGCCCTGCAGCTGGCTTTACTGAGTGCCAAGCGGGGGAAAGGAAAGCAGGGAGCTGGCAGAGGCTCTCGTGGGCCAGATCTGGCTTGCAGATCATAGTTTGCCCAGCCTTGGTCTAGACATTTGTCTCATTAGTGATTCATTAATCTCTCTCTTTTTCTGGCTAATCTCTTTTAAATAAAATTACTATGTGGCTTCCAAACTATACATTCAGATAACATACTCACACTTTGTATTTCTATTACCCTTGCCTTCTTTTTTCCACAAAATTGGGTTCTATACCCACCTTTCCTGCCTTGTTCCTATTTAGACTGTAAACAATTAGGATAAGGATTGTCTTATTTTATTTTTGAATATCACCTGTCACATACCACCTGTTGCTACTCAGATCTATGCTAGTATACAAATAATGAAATCACAGATTTACTTTTTGAGCACTTAAATTCATTGTCATCCATAATAAGTTTATGTTAATCATACAAGAAACAGTAACCAATTGTCAAAATTTTCCCTATATTTTTAATTGCAAAAAATCTCATGTATATCTGTCTTTCATAGTGTTGTGTATATACACTTGCTAATCTCAGATGATACATTTGATCTTAGCCCTTAAAAGGCTTGATCTAAGCCTTCAGTCTTTCCCAAACCCATGAACCCTGGCATCAAATGTCTGCATGGATAGAGATGGAAAACATGCTTTACCAATGCATAGGAAATCAAGATAATTACACTTCTTTGGAAAATGTGGAATAAATTTAATTGAATATTGGTGCCTGTGTATAAGGAAGTATATAGATAATATTGAGCCTTCTAGTTCATTACCAGGCCAAACACACTCATATGTGCACACTACGACACCAAGAAAGCCATAACTGGCCCATTGATCTTTCAAGGAGGCAGATAACCAGATTTGTGATCTCACAAATAAAAGAAGCAAATGGACAAATATCTAGGATACTAATAGGTTCATTACGGGGAGCAACTGCCTTTTGGATCATATGTGAAACTAGGTAACTCTACCTCTCGTTGTCTGATTTACTAAGTACCACACACAGTAGCCCAGTTATGAGTGGAGAGGAAAAGCAGGAGCACCGAACTGTCAGAAAGGACATTGTACTGTTGCCTAGAGCTAACAGTACAATGGGGAAATCAAAGTGGCTGCACTAGAAACTGAAGTAGCTCTACAAATGGTCTGGGCTACCTGAATGCTTCAGGGTGACAGCTTTAACGGATCCTAGCAGACAGGCACAGTAAGGACTAAACCAGAAGGAAATCACTGGGGAAGCCAAGTTCCAGGGAAGACATTTATGTAGAACACAAATGAGACCAGATTAGAAAAAGCCCTGAGAGTATCACAATAATGACACAGATAATGACAAAGTCCAGGAGAAACAGCAGCCTAGAAAGCTTAACTAGGTTTTAGGATGTGCCACCTTATGCAAATCACTTGTTTGACTAATTTTCATATTTAAATTCAAGTATTACCATACATTTGATTTTAAAAGTTATGCGCTGAATTAGTGATGACAAAAGGCAATGTCATGACAGTCCTGGTAAATGATACCTTATGTTTATCTCCAGGGCGGCTGAAGCCTCCACTGTCCACACATTTATCAGTCTCTCTGATGAGTCTGCCCATTATTACAAACTGTTAAGGTGAATTTGTGAGATGGGAGCAGACATGCATCAAATCCATCTCATATAGGAGTTATCAAACAGTCACTAGATGGGATCAATTTTCAGTTGAATATGAATTTTGTGAAGAGGCTCTAATACAGAACAATGTAAGGTGCTTAAAAATTGCACATCAGCTATTCCTTAAATATATTTTTGTCTCTTTTTTTTACAAATATGGCTGTGTCTAGACTGGCAAGTTGCCAGCTGTCTACACTGGCCGCTTGAATTTCCGCAACAACACTGACGATCTCATGTAAGAAATCAGCACTTCTTGCGGAAATACTATGCTGCTCCTGTTCGGGCAAAAGTCCTTTTGCGCAAAAGCTTTTGCGCAAAAGGGCCAGTGTAGACAGCTCAGATTTGTTTTGCACAAAAAAGCCCCGATCGTGCAAATGGCGATTGGGGCTTTCTTGTGCAAAAGCACATCTAGATTGGCACGGATGCTTTTCCGCAAAAAATGCTTTTGCGGAAAAGCATCCGTGCCAATCTAGATGCTCTTTTCCGCAAATGCTTTTAACAGAAAACTTTTCCGTTAAAAGCATTTGCAGAAAATCATGCCAGTCTAGACGTAGCCATATGATCATAGAGATAGTAAAGTGAAAAATCAATTGCACTGGCTAGAGCCATGCAATGAGAGTAAATCCTGTGCAAGCTTCCTCTCTTCCTCTTCAGATCTCTGCCAGTGTAGCTGATTACTGATCTACAATTCTCTTTTCTATTGCAGTACTCTCTTCTTCCTGAGCAAAGCTTGAGTTTACTGAATTCTGTGGTAATTTTATGGTGTTTTTAAACGGAAACTAAAATTAAATCAACAAAACTTATTTTCACTTATAACTAAAACTAGAATTTGAATACTAGTTTCCAGAACTGAACAAAATAATGATGCAGTAATCCATAATACCAGTTACCCCAAATCTCTCATGGCACAGTATATCCACGCAGTACCTGTCCTTTCCACTTCCATTCTTCTCGTTTACATCTGTTCCATGCTCTACCAGTATTTTCACAAGTCTAGATAATATAAAATATTTTCATCAAGAAAAGTACCACTAAACTAACATTTATTATTAAAATGGAAACTTTGAAAGAGTAAATAAAAACGTAGTTTTGCACGCAAAATCTATTACTGATAGGTTCATTTTTTTTTTATTTTTTAACTAAAAGCCTTTTTTTGATTTTCAACAACAAATACACAGAAGAATAAAATAATCACTGTATTAATTTTATAAATTGTCAAGTTGCCTTTATATTATGAAATTTATAAATTATCAAAGTTGCCTTTATGTTATGAAAAAAGCAACGTCAATAATATTCTATTGCATGTTTCTTAAATTGATTATCTATTATTCTGCTCCTAATATAGCAAAGAAATGTAAAAATCAATTATATACAATGAAGAGGTAAAAGAAAAGCAGTAATACCCATCATATCCTTTCTGCGAAGCAACCATCAGAGCAGTAAATCCTAGTTTATCAGGAACATCCACCTTCACATGTCTTACAGGAGAAAAGAAAATGTTACAAACTAGTGTATCTCAAATATTTTCAGAAACAACTACAAATCTTTCTACAACATATTTCTAAATACAATGAGTAGTCCTGTGGCACCTGAGAAACTAACAAAAACATATAAAATCATGAGCTTTTGTGGGTAAAACCCATTACAAATTCAAAGCATTATAAATACCTAGCGTATTTTCCAGCGTATAAGACGACTTTTTATACTAAAAAACATCCCCCAAAAATCGGGGGTCGTCTTATACGCCGGGTATAGAACATCCCTGTGCTGATACTGTATGTCCGTGGTCCCCAACACAGTGCTCGGGGCTGGCCCCGGGCACATGGTGCACGGTGAGTGCCGGCCCCGGGGCGCAGCGCTTGGCGGGGGGAGCGCCA